GGGTTATGCCTCAGGACAATTCTGCATATATCGGATGGTACTGACAAATAACAACGTCTCACAGTCAACTACCACCTCATTTTCTTCTGCTGAAAGTAATCTGCTGGCCTGTAGATCACACTTAATCTCTTGATGAAGCGTAGCCTAAGACTTGATATTTCTAATGCCAATTTAGCCGTGATAGAGACAAAGTCGATTTTACCGAGGGACACTTGCATCAGTTGTTTTCATGATTATAATCAATTATTAACGTTAGGATGTATGATAGCAGAGTCACAAGTCAAAGCAAATGCTTTGGTATGTGAGTGAGTAAAGTAATGTTGTATTCTAACTTCAATGTTCAGAGCTGACCTAACTAAGTCCGTCTCTATTTTTCAGTTTCGTTAGCTGCGACATTTTTCAATGGACCTTTTTAGCTATGGGTGCCTCAAAATTGGGCTGATATGTGCGGCAACATGCAGCGAATTAATTACCGCCGTACACTCCATACCACGCAGTTGTTAGAAGTCGAATGTACATTTCCACTGAAAGAACTACCATAGATTTTAATCCTCACTGTGATCAGACATTAGGACATTGAGAACGGGACACTAATGCTCCTCTATATGTTGGGTTGTGCAATAGGGCACGCCGTCGGTAATATTATACTTAAAAAAGGGTCTTGACAACGGCCTTTCACTGACATTCCACCAGGCGAAAAATTATTATATTTGTATTAGTTAGCTTTGTTTTTCTCAAAAACTTTTACTTTGACCAAAAAGGGTTTCCAAATCAATCATTCGATTTTACTGGGTTAACTAGCAGCAAATCCTTAGTTCCATTTATTGCTAGAATCCGTATCGCTTCCGATGCTTCAACGACTAAAAATTTCAAATTTATTGCCTCTAGGAGTGTATTTATTCGTATGCGCAAATGCTTCTGGAGGTCAGCTGTCGAATCACGAGATTAGCATTGACACCAAACACTCAGCCAATCGTATCAGTAAGCGCATGACATCGGGCAAGTCTACTTCCAATTGGTCGCTGATGTTACTCGCGAGAGCCATGTTCCTTGTTGTCCACTGCGCCATCGGAAGGGCACGGAATACTGAATTGTCGCAGCATCCACCGCCTAAGGTCTGGACCATGTTCTTTACTGTTTTCGAAGACGGCAAATCGCTCTGACATGACATGCAGATGATGCAACAGGAATATTACTTGAGTATGAAGAATTTAGATCAAGGAGGTCGACTGTGTGCATGAGTTTTTGGAGATTTTGTGAAAGTCGCGAAAGCTATCAAGGGAAGTTACTCTCTTGCACCGACAAAGCATAATCACTTGCAAACTGACGAATATGCCTGTCAAATTACACCGAAATATGAGTTCTATTGCCTGCGTCTTAGAACGTTTCTAGTAGCAAAGCGCTGTCCTGAAAAATTGTTGTTGAGGAGTATCAGACAAAAAGCAGTGACTGGCACTTAATACCGAAGTTCGCCAAGTTCCAGTGATAGGAATAG